GTCGGTTAAGCGTCCGACTTTCGCTTAGGTCATGATCTCGCGGTTCGTTGGGTTCGAGCCCCGCGTCGGGCTCTGTGCTGACTGCCAGCTCGGAGCCTGGAGCCTGTTTCAGAGTCTGTGACTCCCTCTCTCTCTGACCCTCCCCTGCTCACGCTGTCTCTCTCTCTCTCTCTCTCTCTCTCTCTCTCCTAGAAATAAACATTAAAAAAAAAAGAGAGAGAGTGAGAGAGGTGCAAGTGAGCAAGGGGCAGAGAGAGAGAGGGAATACAGAGGGGCAGAGCAGGGAGAGAGAGAAAAGGAGAGAGAGAGAGAGAAGCGGGCGGGGCTCACCTGAAGCAGGGCTCAGCTCAAGCTCACAGGATGTGGGACTCAAACTCTGGGAAGTGCAGGTTGAGACTAATGATCTCTTCCATCCATTCCACCTCTGTTCCCCAGTATGCCCACACTGAAGTGCCTGAGGGCTCTGAGAGCAGGGGTTCTGGGCAGAAGAGTGGGAGGTGTACAGGAGAACTGAAGCCCAGAACTGGCTTGGATTTAGGCTGGGTCAACGCAGACTAAGAAGCATGAGGTCCCCAAGTGCATTTCCCGCTACCCATCTTGCTAAGTGCCCTCCGGCAAGGCTGTGCTCTGAGCCTGGAGCTGACTCAGCAGATAGCTTCCAAGTCCTCTTCTTGAGATCCAGCCTCACCCCCACAAAAGAAAAAAAAAAAAAAAGATGTAAGAAGTAAAAAGACGATTCATTTTTAGAAATACCAAATAAAAGCTGTGCTCTCTAATTAACAATAAGTTCACAACCTATTGGAAATATGTACGAAACCCCTCCCACACACAGACACACACAATGGAGTCCCAAACCCTTAGACACTTCACTTCCTGGTTATTCTTCCCCTCTCTGTTTCAGAGGTTTATTTTAGCAGGCTTTCCAATGAGCATGTGCCAAAGAACAGAGGAAGGAGGGACTGAAAATCTCTGTTCCAATCAGATTACTTTTTGAATTACATGGGCATACGCAACATCCAGTAAGGCTGTAACCTCTGTAGTACTCAGCCAAGGAGGAAGCAGGGTACCGACTTAACATGCTAGGAGATAAATGGTCTGCTGTGACTGCCGGGAGTGTACCTGTCCATTGGACACCTGCCCTTGTAAGAACATTGATTAAACACTTCACTGTGCTCCCAGTCTCAACATCCCTCCTTTGATCGGGTCAGTGGGCTTATTTCTCACAACAGAGAGATGACATGTGAAAATCATATACTGAATTTAACAGAACTGAGGTCACTGTTGACCTTGCTGAGAATAAATCTGATAGTATGTTTGTTTAAAAGTCCCACTACAGGGGCGCCTGGGTGGCTTAGTCGGTTAAGCGTCTGACTTTCGCTTAGGTCATGATCTCGCAGTTCGTGGGTTCGAGCCCTGCATCGGGCTCTGTGATGACTGTCAGCTCGGAGCCTGGAGCCTGTTTCAGAGTCTGTGTCTCTCTCTCTCTGACTCTCCCCTGCTCACGCTGTCTCTCTCTCTTAGAAATAAATAAAAATATTTAAAAAAAAAAATAAAAGTCCCACTACAACAGATCAGTAGTAAATAAGAAATAAGTAGAAACATCAGGTGTAGATTAGGTTAGGCCCACCAAGTATGGTCTCCCTGTCTTAAAGTCAACTGATTATAGAGACCATAAATAATCTACAAAATTCATTTTGCTATTGTCAAAGACAAAAACTGGACAGGGAAGAACATTGATTTTATTCAAGCTATTGCAAAAGAGAGAGCATTCAGATCCAAAAATCAGAGTATTTCAGCAGGTGGTTTTTGTCTTCAAGTTTCATAAAGAGGAGTAAACAAGTTGTAGATGGAATGATTTACAGTTCAACTTGTTTTGCAAGCAGGAAAAGTCTCAGTTAGTTAGCTGAACAGGATATTTTATTTCCCTGTGGATAGCTAGTGTATTAGTCAGGGCTCTAGAGAAAAACAAAACCAGGTGTGTGTGTGTGTGTGTGTGTGTGTGTGTGGGTGTGTGTGTGTGTAGGAAGAGATTCATGATAGAAACTGGTTTACACAGTTATGAAGGCCAAGACTAAAGTCTGCAATCTGCAAACTGGAGAAAGAGGGAAACTAGTGATATAATTCAGCCTGAGTCCAAAGACCTTAGAACTGAAGGACTGATAATATAAAGCCTGATCTGAGTCCAAAAGCCTGAGAATCAGGAGCTGTGACATCTGAAGACCAAAGCAGATGGATGTCTCAACTCAAGCAGAGAGTGAATTTATCCTTTCTTCTTTTTGTTCTATTCTGCCCTCAAAGGATGGGTGACTCACAGCCCACCCATTGCTTTACTCAGTTCCCCAATTCAAATGATAATCTTTTCTGGAAACACCCTCACAGACAGAGCAATAATATTTTACCAGCTATCTGAGAATCCTTTAGCCCAGCAGAGCTGACACCTAAAATGTACCAGCACAGTTAGTTTCAAGGGGAAAAGAATTCTAATCTCAGCTAATCAATCATGAGACAAAGGACAAGAAGTAGGAGGGTATGTTTGGCCTTGTCAGCAGGTTCATGAGAAAAGGGAAAGGTATATATTTGGCTTTGTCACAGATAAATAGAGGTATCCTCAAGTCTTACAGGGGTCATGAGAAAAAGAGTGGACAGTGGGTCTTATCTAAGTCATACGGGAAAGGGTATGTCTTTGCCATAAGCCTATTCCTGGAACACAAAACATTGGTGTGTGGTGGTTGGGAGAGTATCTTAACTCTGGCTGTTCTTCAAGGGCACAAGGCTCAGGTGAAGTTCAACACTGTCAGTCTTTTGTTCAAGGTAAATGAATATAATTTTTTGCTGAACACCTCAGAGGGGTGAATAAATTCCTAAGTGGAGCCAAGTAGGGTCCAAGAAATAATCCATTAAGGTCTCAGGCAAGGGCATGGGTAACCCGATATCTTGCCAAGCTTCCTTTTTGACCCGGACAGTGGCTTGTCCAGGGAGAACTCTAACCCTGTATGGTCTACTATAGTAATAACTGCTTGAGCTCTTCAAGGTTTTAAATGAAGATTTTAGCTCACAGGGCTTCGTCAGATTCTGAGGAGAGAAGTCTTTGCAGCACCCGAAAGGGGTATGGGTGGTCAGGTTTTAGTTCTTGAACACATTGAGTCAAGCAGGAGGGAGAAATTTTGGAAAACTTAGTTTAGAGAGTAGTAGCCAGATATCGAAGGAATCTAGAACCAAACTGGTAAGTGTTAATGATCTCTGGGCATGGTGATAGGATCCATCCAGTCCAAACTGCAGGAAGGTAGTCAAACTAGTTTTTCCACAAGAAGGGAGAATTCACTTAAATCTCCACCAGAGATGACAGAGTCTGCAAATCTACCAATTAACTGGAATTTACAAAGTACACAAATGGTAAAAAGGCAGTGAACAGGGCTGTAGTCTGATAATCCAACTTTTGCTAATTTGGGACTAGAGTCAGAAGAGTGTGCTATAGTTTTCCACTGAAATACAAAATTTCTCTCTATAATCATTCCCCCTTTTAATCAAAGATAATGTCAAAGAAAGATTATTCTTTTTTTTAAAGGTTATTTTTGAGAGGGGAAGAGAGAGAGAGAGAGCAAGCACACACACAGCAGGGGGAGGGGAAGAGAGCATGAGAGAGAATCCCAAGCTCAAAACCCAGGAACCATGAACTGAGCTGAAATCAAGTTGATCACTTAACAGACTGAGCCACCCAGGCACTCCAAGAAAGATTATTCTTGATTATAAAATAAAGCTAGTCTTATTATTTATACAGGTACAGCAAAAATAGTAATTTTTCACATAGTACTCACAGAAAGTTGTTCCTTTCTGTCATTATTGCTGAGTAGAGACTCATTCACATATATTGGTTATAATTTAAAACCATAGTGACTTCTAAGAGGTTAGATAATTTTGACTGTAATACACTAGCATTTTCAGCAGACCAGAAGAGCTTATGAATAATACAGCTTAAAACTTTTTATAGCCATACACATCCCAGGGCTGCAAAAATGAACACATTCATTAACAGATGCAAATATACGGCATCTCTGTATCATATAAAAATGAGAGGCAAAACGTACGTAAAAATTACATAACCAAAAGTTATGCTTTGCAATGAGTGTTTCAGTATCCATGCGGAGTGGTTTATACTTGGAGGTGTTTTACAAGCGTTTAAGTCTTAAGATTAAGATTCGCATGCTCCTCCGACTGAGCCACCCCCAAGCCAGTTATTTTTCTAACAGTTACTTAATTTTATTTTTCTGTTCTCTCCCTGTCTCTATGGAGGTAGTTTTAATCATGTGCAACATAAATAGATGCAGGCTTAATTTATTGAGGCATTGCGTTAAGAGGAAAGGGATAGCCCTGCCCTACGATTTGATGATCAAACTGGACCTAGAATATTAATTTCAGTTCGTCCCTTATCAGAATGCGCTGCTGTGGCTGGTACGGTTTCCAACAAACATCAGAAGGCCTTTAAGGCCAGGAAGGGGTTAGTGCTTTATGACTCTGAGATCCTCTGGACCCATTTGTCTTTTGTTGTTGTGTCTTCCCCCTTCCTGATTAATAGCACCAGGCCCATTGCTGGCGCCGCTTTGGGCTCTCCCCAGGCTCAAGGTCTCAGCCAGGGTGGGCGAAGTGGTCATTTCCCAGTCAAGGAAGACTTCTTCCAGACTCCCGGATGGCAGCCCGCTCCGGAGCTAATCTCGTTTTCAGTGACAGGAACAGCTATTTCTACGGCAGGGTTTCCTGGATTCGCCTCCCCACCCCCTCTCAGGATCCTTTGCCCAAAGGACTTTTTCCTTTGGGCAAAGGACTTTACTTTTTCCTTTGGGCAAAGGACTTTTGCCTTGCCTTTCCCAGCCGGACAGCCTCGCAGAAGCAGCCGCGGGCGCCGCTCCACCTGACTCTTCCACCCGGGACACATCTAGCAGGAGGCAGTGCCCGGGGTGGCGACGCAACAGTGGAGCCTGCACCCGCAGCTGCCCGCCCAGCCGCCCAGGTGGCTCGCTTTCGGGACAGAGCCGGCAAGTGCCGCGCTGGGGCCGCCGGAGCCGAGCCGGGAACGGCGTTTGCCCGGGCCGCGGCGGAAGCCGGAGCATTTGGGGGACGGGACCGCGGGAACCCGGAAACGCCTGGGCCGCACCAGCTGGCGGCGGCGAAGGCGGCCGGACCCGGCAGCTCTGCGCGTCAGGGGTCGCGGGGACCCGGCGGGGCGCCGGGCGGGGCCGAGCCGCCGTCCGGGGTGAGCGCAGCCGGCGGAGCTGCGCGGGAGGTGAGCGCGGCGCGCCGCTGGGGGGCGGCGGGCGCACGGCCGGGGCGCGAGAGGCTGCCGGGGGGTAGGGGGGTGGGGGACCGGAGCAGCTCCGGGAGGAGGAGGAGGAAAAGGTGTGCGGGGGGGCTGAGGGAAAGTCCGTCTGAGCGACGGGGACCGTGTCGAGCTCAGCAGGGGTGGGAGCGGATGAAGTGGCGCGTTGTCCCTCCGAGGCAAGACGTGCGGAATGTGCTGGGCGGAGGAGGGAAAAGGGCCCGAGGAGAGGGGTGTGTCAAGCGCATGAAAACGGCTCTGTGAGCCTCAGAGCCTGGGGCGTGCGGAGCCAGGTGGCCGGTGGGCCCGGGGGGCGGTCATTCCTTCAGTGAGCGTCCCTTGGGCTCCTGCTCCGAGCGTAGCCTTGCGGTAGGCGCCGCTCCACCAGACCAGGACCCTGCGCTCAGGAAGCTGCAGGGACTTCAAGAAATGGAAGGGCTGTCCTTGGTAAGGCCAGTACAGAGGCAAGGGCCGTCCGCAGCTGGGTGAGCCTCCTGTGAGCCTCCTGTCGGGACAGGTGTGTGCGTGCGTGTGTGTGTTGGGGGAGGGTTCTGAGTGTCGAGGAAGGGAGGATTTTAATAACATGTATTTAAACCAACTAAACACCTCTCGGGAATGCTGGTTCAACGGACTTAAAGGATGATGTTAAATGTAATGGGCCTTGCTTAGCAGACCACTTACACTTCATGACTTGACAGTAGAAAGACTGAATCTTTTATTCTGTTCTGTTACATGCAGCCTTTGAAAGGGGGATCAGAGTCTTTGGGTTTCAGTCAACATTCAACTTGGATAGTTAAAGATGAAATGTGGTAGTTTTTCACTTGGTGCTCTTACTTAACTTTCATTGGTACACTCGGGCAGTTTCCTTTAAGGGAATGACTTGGAAGTTTACATTTCTGGTCCTAACGTTTCCTCCCAAGTATAGATTCTCCTTTTTTCAACATTTCAAGTTACTTCTCTCCTTTTTCATCCCCACTCCCTCTCTGCTAATTGTGGTGCTTCTGTCTTCTTCTTTGCACTACAGCAGTGGCTTCCAAACTGGACTTGCTTCCCTCCATCTGTCCCTCTTCCAATCACTCCCTTCCCTACTGCTTTTTATTTTTTATTTTTTTATTTTTATTTTTTCCCTACTGCTTTTTAAAGACAGGGAGCTGACGCAGCCCCTGGTTACTTCCCTCAGAAATACTCAGTGACCCTCTATTGGCTCCCAAACAAATGTAAAATTATTTAGCGTTGCATTCAAACGCTTCAAAATTGGAGCTCTTCGTAGCTCCACTCCGATATGTCCTTTTCATTTTTTAAAATTACTGTATCCCACATAATCGTATTTTTTTGGCAAAACCACAGTACTTGCTTGGAAATGTTATTTCTGAACATGCTCTATGCCTACCTGCCTTGGTCTTTGCTTGTATCTTTTATTCTACAAGGAAGGCCTTTTTTTACCATCTTTGTAGAAATTCTACTTATTCTTTAATGACTTAAATGCCACCTTCTTTTTAAAATTATTTCTTATTAAGATATAACTGACATGTTACATTATATTAGTTTCAGATGTACAACATAAAGATTTGCTATTTGTATATATTGCAAAATGATCACCACAATAAGTCTTGTCGAAGTTCATCACCACACATAATTACACATTTTTTTCTTCTGATAAGAACGTTTAAGATCTCTCTCAGCAACTTTCAAATGTATAATACAGCATTATTAACTATAGTCACCATGCTGTACAATATCCCCAGGACGTACTTATTTTATCTATAACTGGAAATTGACACCTCCTTGCTTTAAAAAACTTTTTTATTTATTTATTTTCGAGAGGAAGAGAAAGACAGAGACAGAGAGCAAGCAAGAGAGGGGCAGAGAGAGAGAGGGAGACACAGAATCTGAAGCAGGCTCCAAGCTCTGAGCTGTCAGCACAGAGTCCGACATGGGCTTCGAACCCAGGAACTGTGTGAGATCATGACCTGTGCTGAAGTCCAATGCTCAACTGACTGAGCCACTCAGGTGCCCCTGGCAATGCTTTCTATAGAATTTAACATATCAAATAAGCTCTGTTAGTTTGACATCTTTCTTTTTATAAGGAGAGAACAAATCTTTTTTTTTTTTAATGTTTTATTTATTTCTAGGAGAGAGAGAGACATGAGCAGTGTCTCTCCAACTCAGAGAGAGAGGGAGTGACAGACTCCGAAACAGGCTCCAGGCTCTGAGCTGGCAGTCAGCACAGAGCCTGACGCGGGGCTCGAACCCATGAACCGTGAGATCATGACCTAAGCAAAAGTCGGACGCTTAACCGACTAAACCACCCAGGCGCCCCAAGAACAAATCTTTTGAGGTGTTTCAGGGACCCTCTGGAACAAATCAAAGTTAGGTCCAGCTCAAAAAAAATTTAGAATTTGATTTTTGGGAGTTTTGCCAAACATATTAAGTTAAAAATTTTTTTTAATGTTTATTTATTTTTGAGACACAGAGAGAGTTCAATTCGGGGAGGGGCAGAGAGGGAGACACAGAATCTGAAGTAGGCTCCAGACTCTGAGCTGTCAGCACAGAGTCAGATGTGGGGCTTGAACTCAAGGAGTGTGAGATCATGACCTGAGCCGAAGTCCGACACCTAACCGACTGAGCCACCCAGGTACCCCGAAACATACTGTTTTAAAACACATGATTAAATGGTATCATAAGGGGGCACCTGGGTGGCTCAGTCAGTTAAGTGTCCGACTATGGCTCAGGTCATGATTTCACGGTTCATGGGTTCAAGCCCCATGTCGGGCTCTGTGCTGACAGCTAGCTCAGAGCCTGGAGCCTGCTTCACATTCTGTGTCGCCCTCTCTCTGACCCTCCCCTGCTCACACACACTCTCTCTCTCTCAGAAATAAATAAAAACATAAAAATAAATTAAAAATAAATAAATGGGATCATAGGTCCTGTGAAACAATACTTAGTTATCCATTTAACCAAACTGACGAAAACATTGAAGGCAAATACTGAAAGTTACATAGTTATATATAATAAATATAAATGAGCTCTTTTAATAGAGAAGACTCTGTTTCTTTTTTTTTTTTAATTTTTTTTTTTTTTTTTTATTTCTAGGAGAGAGAGAGAGACAGCGTGAACAGGGGAGGGTCAGAGAGAGAGGGAGACACAGACCCTGAAACAGGCTCCAGGCTCCGAGCTGGCAGTCAGCACAGAGCCCGACGCGGGGCTCGAACCCACAAACCGCGAGATCATGATCTAAGCGAAAGTCGGACGCTTAACCGACTAAGCCACCCAGGCGCCCCGAGAAGACTCTGTTTCTTAAGTAATCAAAGACGGATAAAGAAAATGGGAAAGTACAGGAAGTTATTTTGATAAAACACAGGGTCTTTGTTTTCTAGGCAGATTACTTAAAAGGAAAATAAAAGATTACTTAAAGGAAAACTTTTCTGAATTTTATCAAGGGCAAACCCATAGTCCAAGAAAGCTTTCCTCTTTTGCTAGAGACAAGACTCAGTTCTAGTTTTGCATCAATGTACTTTAGATATTAAGGCTCATTTTTATAACCCCTATAATTAATGCATTCAGTTTTAGCCACCTGGACCATTTGAAATAAGTATCTCCTCTCTCTTCCCAGCTTTCTATATCCATTTAATTTTTGTCTTTTATTCTGCTCTTTCTCATTCTGGAACAATGAATTACTCTATTTTAGGACAAAATTACTCTTTTTTTTTTCCTTTAACAAAAACTTATCTCCATATGTCATACATTTTTTCACACCAGGACACATTCCACTTTCCTTGTATACTAAGTTCCCCCTCTGTTATTCCTAGCATTTTAATTACATATATTAATTAGAATTCTTAACTTAGATACCTTAATTCTAGTGAAAACTAGGAAGTAATTGTGAAATGTTTGTCATACACCAACATTCTGTACATTGGCAAACTTATGAATACTTCATTTCCTAATTTCTAAAGCTATATGCTTCCTCATGGTGTAATTTTTTCAATATTTTTCACCATGGTACAACACATGTTTACGAACAGATCCAAATATCTATGGTTGCTTTTTTTTAATTTCTTTTTTTTAACATTTATATTCATTTTTTGAGAGACAGAGTCAGAGCATGAGCAGGGGATGGGCAAAGAGAGAGGGAGACACAGAATCCAAAGCAGGCTCCAGGTTCTGAGCTGTCAGCACAGAGCCCGATGCGGGGCTCAAACCCACAAACTGCAAGATCATGACCTGAGCCGAAGTGGGACGTCTAATCAACTGAGCCACCCAGGTGCCCCTGGTTGCTTTTTAATAAGAGACCAAAAGTAGGTTAACTTACATTCAGTAATTAATGTTTCATTTTGCCTTTTGTGGGATGATTATACATATTCAGTGAATATTCATCATTTAACTTGACTTAGCAAAACTCTAAGGCTGTAAGTTACCAAAGAGATTTGGTAAACTATTTCAAGCAGACATAGTATAAAAAGTAATTATCGTTGAAAATTTCATTTATGAATTTTTATATTTTTAAACTTTTTTACATTTAAACTTATAATTATTTAATTCAGTGGTTTTAAACACATGTGTTTAAATTACTCATGAAAATTTCATGAGACCTTAGCAACTAGCCATCTTATTAAGTTACTTTTCCTGCTGACAAATTTTGTGACACAGAGATAACATATGCTTATTTGACTAGTAAACCCAGGTAGAAAATCTGTATGTCTGCATTATATTTAATGCTCACAACTCTGGAGATATATCTATTTTTTTGTTGGCTGGTTTGTTTTTTTTTTGCTTTTTTCAATTAAACCAACAATATTCTTATTTGCCAAAGATTAACTGAGTCGTGTGAATTTAAAACCATTTGAGTTAGTTTCTGTATTTCTCTGAGAGGGTATTAGATTAATATGGCACTTCTTTATCTTTAGTTCAGTTAAATGGAGCTCTTTTACAAATTAATTTTGTCAAGACTATCCAGAGGTAGAAAA